CAACCGCGCTGCGCCTGCTTCCCTGGGCAGAATGGGAGCTGCACGCGCCATCCTCGCAACGGGGGCCCGTTTTGAGAAAATCGAGCAATGGAGGCAGCAGAGAGACAAGGAGACAGAGAGAAGAGGACGCACACGAACACCACTGGCAGCACCGGTCGGCAGCAGGCCCGAGCCCTGGACCGGGGTCCCATAGGATGCGAGTGCTGTGATTGCCGTGCTTTTTAAGCTGTATGACTTGAAGTCAAAGAGAAACAGATGCCTTCAATTAGGATGAAAATTAGAGGGAATGAGATGGCAGAGCAAGAGCTACGCCGAGTGCCTGGACTTTAATAAGAGTCACTTAGCAAGGAAGGCTTGAGACAACTGAGGCTTGAGATGCTGTCTTTGGTATTACGGATAATAGATCAGAACTTTCAATGATTGCTCTATGTATGCAGCAAATCTGTTCTGAACGGAAGAGACTGTTCTCCACGCCGTTAACGAGACTTACCATGTTTCTCTTTATCCTAACCGCCCACTGAGGTATTGATTTAAAAACAAAATTGTTTTCACCATTCTAACAAACTTATTGGGCAGAGTTTACCTGTCCCCACTCAGAAATGCCAGGTTATAAATATTGGCTAAACATCTCATCGTAAGAATAGCACTTTTTATTTTGGGCATTCAGAAAGAATAGCCAGGGTACCATCAACTTTATCTGAAACGGTGACTTTGTTTTAAAAGATCTTGCTTGGGGGCACTATATTTAAGCATCATTCTGGAAAAATTGTGAGTAGGTTTTTCATTTCTTGAAAATGCCAGGATTCCAGAGGTTAGCAAAGAGTTGCCTGCTCATAAACAGAGGCAGTGAAAAACTGTCCTCAGCTTTATGCTACAGACACTGCATCTATGAAGAAAGCTAATGAGGTAACAAAAAAGAGATGCAGCCTCTGAGATTTTTAACTTGCTAAATAATTAATTTTGGGGTACTTAATTTTTTGTCCTTACAAAATAATATTAAATCTGTTCTTTATAAAAAAAAAACTTTTCTTGAGCTTCAAGTTTAATGTATAACAAATGCTAAACATTTTTTCCCCCTATATGTTGAGAAGGACAAAGACCAGGTCTTTCAACAGGCACTTTAAACACTAGATTTAAACATTAAACAATGTTATTATTTGCATCCCCAAAAGTACTTGACTTAAGTCCAGTCACAGAAGACTTCTGGTTCTCTGCAGGACACTTAGAAACCCAGACAACTGGCACCAGAAACTGTCATAGCTGGGGCACAAACACTTGTGCTTATTGCTTGGCCGTTGCACATCTGCACTGACCAGCAAGGGGAAACAGAAACACGATGAATGCTTAAGCTGTTTCAAACTCCAAATAAAAATACAGATGCCTGAATGCCCACTGGTATCGACAACTCTGATCTTCTGGACCAAGGGGAATTTTATAGAGAGAATGTCAAAAGAAATTAGAGGTATGAAGGCCATAGCCATCCATTCTGCAAATGCTACGAAAAGAAAGTGACGCTTGCTGAACACATCTGAGGAAGGCAGAGGGAGGACAGAATTCACTGGGAAGCCTGGAGGTGGAAGCTGTCTTTTCATCAAAATCTTCTGGACAGGGGCTGGGTGCACAGCTCAGTGGCAGAGCGCAGGCCCAGCAGACACATTTGATCCCAGCACCCCCAAAACCACACCCCCAAATACCCACCACATGCACCTGTAGGCTCAAGGGCATGGACTATGTCTTTCTAGTTTTTGCATCCCAACACCAGACACAGGGCCTGGCACAAGAATCACACTTAAAAGTTTGATTTGTTATTGGAGACCACAAGCACTTTTCATGAAAGCCTGAGCAGAACCATCTTTGCACACAGGGTTCTTACGGCTTCTCCTCTGTGAAGGTACTCGCAATGTGTGTGAGTGGGGGTGAGGGAGTACTAGAGATTGAAGGCAGGGCTTTTGCCCTGAGCTACAAGTCGAGGTTGGTCAGGCTAAGACTGAACTTGGGGTCCTCCTGCCGCAGCCTCCCGCAGTGCTAGGGTCATGGGACTGTGCCATACATGTGGCTGTGCACCTCTTAAAGAGACTCCTAGTCACCACACATGTGAAGCTGCACATTACGGGCGCGTGAGAAGAGCTGCTATCTATAAACAAAGAACTACTACATTTAGCACATTTGACAGGGTGCAGAACACAAGAAATGTGGAAAATCGGCTGGCGCCTGTGTGGAGATGAACCGGCACCCTCACACTCCTCAGCTCCTGCTTCGGGGTAATCAGATGGGGTGTGCTGGGAGCTATGGTGAGGAAGAGATGCACAGCGAGGGGCTGTTCTGGCACCTACTGGTCCTGCGATAACAGGGGTGGGTCATGAGGGGACTCAGGGGATTCCCCCAAGGAAGCGAATCTTAGCGTGTCTACCGCCCTCTCTCAAGGACCCAGGATGCTTTGCACCTCCGCACCTCTGGCAGCATCTGGAAGCAGAACCTGATCAGTAACAATGACTGGGATCAGAGACCTCTGTGAAAACCAACTCAGTGTTCTGCACAGTGGCCCGAGAAAGGGGTGTTTTAATCTGCGCTTCAAAGGGATGATCTGGAATGCAAAGCCCGCCCGGGCAAGTACACAGTTAGGGACAGAAAGAACACAGAAACCCAGGGCCAATAATCACTTCCAGGGTCGAGGCAGAGGCCTCGATGGACCAGCAGAGCAAACTGCTACAGCTTTGTCCTTTCCACACAGCCAGTCAGCTGTCAGAGACCGCAGAGGTCCAGAGAGCACCTGGAGGCCACACCATGGGCTGCATGGCTGGCTCTGCTCTTCCTAAGGCGGCTCAGGTTCACAGAACAGGTTGGGGAAGGTGGTGGCATTGCAGATCCAGGGCAACAGAAAGGCTTCTGCATAGGTTCCCTGACCTGTCCACTGTCTTCTAACTGCTCCAGGCAACTAATTTCCACCAAAAGAACACCTATCCACATCCTTTTTGTTTAATTTTGTGGGACTGAGACTGAACTCAGGGCCTTCGCACTGAGCTATACTCCCTGCTCTTTTTTTATACATTTATTTTTGAGATAAGGTTTTACTGAATTGCTAAATTGCCCGCCCTGGGCTTGAACTTGTGATCCGCCTGCCTCAGCCTCCCAGAGCACTGAGATTATAGATGTGTCCATAATTTTAAAAGGGTTTGTGCATTAGCCACATCTGTCACTGCTATGGATCTGCGAACATGAAATATTTCCAGGTTACCTTCTTCAAAAACATTTACAAATGTCACCTTAAAAGTTCCATCATTTCTTTCTAACGCTAAATAAAACATGTACTAAATGCCAAAAGAAAATTACTGAACCAAAAAAGGAAGGTCATGTGGCTACTTACAGTTAATACATCTGTTATTACTGAAGAATACTTTGCCAGGTGCCCATGAATGAAAATATTAACTGAAAAACCATCCCCTTCACCCGCATTCTTAGTTTCCAAAGGTTTTATTAAAATTCTATTTTGTATGGATGGCTCTTGGAAATAATTTTATAACATACAAATTAATTCAAAAAGGTATATACATATATATATATGTATTATACATACATACATATATATATAAAATATTAATGCACAAATTTGTGAACTGGGGTACAGAAAAATAGTAAAGATTCCAGGAAAAGCGTGTAAAATGTCTTTAGGATTCACCGTCCTGAGAGAACATAACATTAAAAGAATAAAAATTATCAGTTCACTCAGCTGAAGAGTTTTTAAGTTTTGTGATAGTTTCTCCAATTATTTCACAAGAGCAGTCTCTAAAAATAAAAGGTGAAAGACACATGATCTGAAGAGAAACCAAAATGTAGTAATCTTTAAAAGCAGTAAGACGGCCCAGCATATGTCCTAACTAGTGCAGTCCCACGTCAAATCTAGAGCAGCACTTTCTTCAGAACGCACTTCTTATGCCTTCGAGACTCGTTTAGAATGGTGAGGAGCCACTTTACTGGAAGCTATGTTAAAAGTCGCTAAATGGAATTTCATGAAAACTTTAGAATTGTCTTTGAGAAAAGCCACAGGTCTTATTATTTAATGTTCTTTAGGAAAATATGTCTGCTGATAAATTCTTATTCTGCGTATCTCCAAATTCAGATTTAAACGCCAAGTTGAGAACAGGTGGCAAACATCGCTTGTGACAAACAGGTCAGTGAGGTAGTAACCAATGGGCCCTCTTCTTCCCATTCCCATCTTAGTTCCTGATTCCAGGCTTGCGGAAAAGCCACGCGAGGAGACAGACCAGCAACGCTGAGCTCACTGAGAGAGCGGGCAGGTGCCACCGCCCACAGCCCTGGGCGCGGCCCCATCACCGGGGGTGGGGAGACCCCACCCAGGAAGGGTGGACGCGTCTTCCTGCTGAGCCACCCTGCAGCCCCAGGAGAACAGTCACTCCTGCTCCTCTCTCTCCCACTCACCTGTCCCCAAACCCTCTGGGGGGTCTGAAGAAGTGGTGGTTTTGTCTGGGCGCAGCCAAGCGGTAATCACAAAGGAGGGCAGGGTGAGCGGAGTGAGCAGTACGGCCTGGCCTCGGTACCGGTGTCCTCCTCCTCCCACCGCGGAAACAGGTGTTCCCAGACACAGCCTGGGCCCTGGTGCGCCCCGTACAGGAGGGAGGAGGAAGAGCTGAGTGGAGACTCTCAGGGCTGCTCCAATCCACCCAGAGAAACTACAGAGGGGCAGCAGACAAAACTGACCCCATGTGCTTCATCAGCTCTGCTACCACTTCGCTGTGAGCTTCACAGCCCCACAGGAGACTCATCTGAATGCTGGCATCAGAATTCTGTATTATTGATCCAGGACTCTGCATTATTGATCTAAAACTTTGCATTACGAGAAAGGCAATGGAGTAAACAGATGTATCCAAAGAGTCTACACCTCTGAGCCCCAAGTGATAACAATTTTCCATCTGTTCAAACACTGCTCAATAGGACAAAAACAAAAGAAGGTGGAAAACGAAGAAGGCAAACACAATGCTTACTTTCTCGAAATGCTTTACAGTAGCCAAGGAAAGATAACAAAAAGAACAGGGCACAGAGGAGGTCTGCACGGCCGACAACTCCAGCAACCTTAAAAGGGGGGAAAAAAAAGATTTACATAAACACACTTAAACATTCTTTTTTGTTTTTTTTTTTGAGACAGGGTCTCACTATGTAGACTGACCTGGAACTCACTATGTAGCCCAGGCTGGTCTCAAACTCACAGGGATCCTCCTGCCTCAGCCTCCCGAGTGCTGGGATTACAGGTGTGCGCCACCACGCCCGGCTCGCTTAAACCCTGAAAATTCAAAACATTCCTTAGACATGTAAAACAGGCAATGGACTAGACTCCGCCACCTACAGCAATAACCTGCATGGCAGGTCTTATCTTCTACTCAGTTCTCTTCTCCCAGGTGGGAGAAGGATTGGTTTGGTTAGGACTGCATTTAAGTGGTTCCAGGAGAAACCTGGGCTGGTCTGAACACAGTGGCGGTGCTGCTATACACTGCACACACGCAGCAACACACATGTCCCATGGCAGCTGTTACTTAGTACACTGCGCCCCACAGCTCGAGGGATGTGTTAAATCGGGGAGCGCTGGCACCTCCAGAAAGCATGATACTGAATAAGTAAAATGTGACTGGAAACACGAAGGACACAAGGTGAGATGTGTTGGAAGCCGTCAGGAGGTGGACAAGGACACAGGGGTCATCCTCCCGAGTGCCTCTCCCATCTCTCCTTCCCTTCAGACCAAAACCACTCATGTGGGTGAACCTGAAAGCAGACTGCGTCAAAAGTGGTTAACAAATAAGATGAAAAGGGAGTGACGTTTCTTGTTTCTCTTCCCTTTTCCTACCTTTTCTCTTCTTTTCCTAATGATAACGAAGCGATATAAAATTTGTGTTGATTTCTTTCAGGCTGAGTATTCCAACAGTTGCTCTCCACAGGCATCACCACAGTGAAGATGCAACATCCACTATGAGTGGGTGCTGGTCTTGTGTATGTGAGGTTCTTTTACTGACTAAACGAGCACCAGAATGTGACGTGTATCAAAGGTATACATCTACATCTACATATTCATATATGTAGCTCTATCTGTATCAAAGCTACGAGTCTAGGAATCTTAATGTCTGGTAGGTTAACCATGTCTTAAAGGAGAGGAGGAGGAAGAGGAGGAGGTGAGTGGGTGCTGGTCTTGTGTATGTGAGGTTCTTTTACTGACTAAACGAGCACCAGAATGTGACGTGTATCAAAGGTATACATCTACATCTACATATTCATATATGTAGCTCTATCTGTATCAAAGCTACGAGTCTAGGAATCTTAATGTCTGGTAGGTTAACCATGTCTTAAAGGAGAGGAGGAGGAAGAGGAGGAGGGGGGAGGAAGTGGCTGGAGCATCCGGCTCCATGGGTCTTCCCAGGGAGACACCTACAGGCTGAGGACCGTCAAGACTCCTGACCCTGCTGAGGGAGGGAGAGTAAAGCTGATCCAGAGGAGCTTGTCCAAGGGAACCCCAAGCAACAGGGCTGGTGGAAGCTGGCCAGAGTGTGAAAGAACAAGGGGAAGAGGCTTCTTGAAATGAGAGGAGGGGAGGAAATGGCTTGGACAAACACTAGGGATGGGGTAAAAGGACCAGTCTGCAGAAACCTTGCTCTCTGTCTGGGTGGCTGAGGAAGGGACAAGGAATTGTAAGGAAATGCACTTTAAACATCATAAACTTATGTCTAAGGAAATGTTTTTCTTTTTTTAAATTATTGAAGAAATTCCCGGGTATTCAAGCAACGTACATTCTACTGACATAAAGAAAAACACATTTTTTAAAGTACAGTAAGTGTTTTGCAGTCAAGCAGCATTAAGCATTCACAATGAGTTTTTGGCAAAAGATTAAAGGGAAAAATGTCAAAAGGCTACCAAGGAGGGACTGCTTGGAGAATGGGCAGAAACAAAATGAGGCTTTTTCTTGTCCCGACATGGGCAGAAAATGTGTGTTCAGGCAAACTTCCTTACAAAGAGTAATTACTTTTCTTCCCAATGACCTGGAATAGCTCTAACAGGGTTTTCTAGATAAAGTGCTACATCTCTGAATCCAGAAAGCAGGATGTGTCATTTCTGTGTGGGGACAATCTGCACAGGAGCCCTAAAATGGCACTGCGGAGGGGCAGGGAAGCTCACCCCCAAATTCCTCCCAGAGGGAGGGTGGGTTCAGGGTGGGGAAGAGGCCTGCGGGAGGCCCGAGTGGCTCTCTCTGACAGAAGAACTCCGGCCCCTTGAAATCTGTCTGCACCAATGCTTTGGAGAAAAAGAAATGCAAAATCCTTGAGCGGG